TTCCTGCCACAGGGCCTTTGCACAGGCCTGGGAGGCTCTTCCCCAGTCTTTCCCTCTGCCTGGAATGTTCTTCCCCAATATCTCCAGTGCTCACTCCCTCACTTCCTCCAGGCCTTTGCTCAAATATCTTCATCTCAGTACACCCTTCCCTGGTCCCCTGCTTAAAGCTGTAGCCCCTGCTTCCCCCGTCACCTTCTAACAGACCACATAATCCCTTATTTGTTTGGTTTACGGTTCTCGTTTAGTCATTCTTCCTGAGGCAGGGATGTCTGTCCATCTCATTCCCTGCTGTGGCCCCAGAGCCTGCACACAGCAGTCACTCAATAAATGCTTGAGCAAATAAACCATGGCATAAATGGCCAAGTCCCCTGGCCGCCCACATGATGCCCCACCCCCAGTCTTCCAGGGTGCTCACTCACATGTGATTTCCTCATGGGTGAATCCCAGGACCCGCAGGGACTCCAGTGTCTCATGGAAGAGCTCCCGCTCCTGGCCAGGAGAGGACGACGGCCCATTGGTCAGGAAGCGGTAGTGGGAGAAGGGCTCAAGGAGGAGGTCAGCTGCAGGGCACAATGAGTGTGGGTCAAGGTCAAGGGTGAGTGGTGCAGTCAGACTCACATCCCGGATTCATCGATGGTGACCCCAGGATGAGTGACTTCCCCTCTGTCAAATGGGTGAGGGTCCTTTTCTCACAGGTTTGGTGGGAATGGCCAGGTGTGGAGGGGGATCTCATTTAGCACATATGAGATCACTCCTCATGGGAATTGCCTAGAGCAGGCAGGAGCTACTTCTCAGGAGCAGAAATGGGCCAAGGAAGCCCAAATCAGGAGAGGCAATGGGGCGGCAGGAGCCAGCACCAGAGGACATATGGTTTCAGAAGCCACGGTGAGTGGGAACCTGGGTGAGGAAGGGTGACGTGGGAGCAGAAGCCAGGAGGTGGCACAAGCTACGGGTTGGAAGGAGCCAGAATATGAGGAAGCCAGGGGGCAGTGGGGGCCGGGACAAACCAGAGCCTTGGGCATTTCAGCAGCCAGAGGCAGAAGAGCAGGGAGCAAGAGACAGGAGGCCTCTCAGGCAGGAGTCAGTGCCCAAGAACCAGGGGCTAGCAGGGGCCAGAGGAAAGGGGCGCCCCGAGGCAGCCGGAGCCGAGAAGCAGCACAAACCAGGATCCTCAGGAAACACGAGGCTGCAGGAGCCACAGCAAAGCCAGTCACCACATAACCCCGGCTGGAGTAAGTAGAAGCCACGAGCAAGAGGAGTCACAGCAAATGGGAACCTTGGAGCCTCAGAAGCAAGTGTGAGCAGGAGTCACAGGGCCATGGAGCCAGGATAGGCAGGAGCTCAGTCACCACATAACCCCGGCTGGAGTAAGTAGAAGCCACGAGCAAGAGGAGTCACAGCAAACGGGAACCTTGGAGCCTCAGAAGCAAGTGTGAGCAGGAGTCACAGGGCCATGGAGCCAGGATAGGCAGGAGCCATGGAGCCAGGACAGCAAGCGTGAGGAAGACCCAAGAAAGAGCTGGAACCAAAGGGCAAGAGGCAACAGAATACACTACACAGCAAAAGCCAGGGGCCACAGAGCCTCACAAAAATAGACACCTGACAAGTATCGGTGCCCTTGCTTTCTTCCTCCTCCAGGGCCCAGAGATGCCAGAGGCCCCCACATGGGTCCCACCACACCCCTCGAGTAGGGCAGAACAGGGCAGCACTGACCTTTGAGCTGTTCTCCAGCGCCTCCAAGCAGCTGGTAGAAGATGTGGAAGCTGCACTCATCCTTGGCCTGGCGGATGGCTCGTGACTTCTCCAGCAGGTCTGGGCAGAGGTGAGTCAAGGTGCCAGAGTGGAGGGGAGAGAACCTCGCCCGGCCCCCTGGATGCTGCCAGGCCACGACAGGGGCTTGCCGTGACCTTGTTGCCCCCTTTGATTCTGTGAAGCTGTGGAGTTGTTCAGAGCCCAGCCTTGTGACTTTGCCACTAAGTGGATGAGTGGCTTTGGGCATGTCACTTAAGCATACATGCCTCAGTTTCCTCGTCTATTCAAGGGGTTTAAAAACAATACTCCTCAATGAGTTGCTCTGAACGTAAATGACTTAATATGTGTGAAGCACCTGAAACAGTGCCTGGTTCATAATTAATCACAGGTGAGACTGTCTCCTGCCATTATTATTCTCCTAGCCTCAGTTTCCCCATATGGATATTGGGGCTCCCACTTCCAACTAGACTCTGTCACTCTGCATGCTCTCTCCTACTAAGAGAGTTACATGGCATGTTTGCACACTAAAAAGTGGCAGGACATCTTGGAGCAAAATAAACACAGGATACCTCATTGACCCCACCATGTGCCCAAGCTCATGGACCAGCAAGCACAAATTTTGCAGAACCTACTTTGGGGAGCTTTGCCCAAGATCAGCTGCAAACCTAAGGTCTATTTTCCAGAAGTCCTGAGGTGTAACCTGCTTGCGTTAGTTGGGGAGATGTAAGGGAAGGGGCTTCCACAAGACAGGGTGGGGCAGGGGAGGTGCACACAGACCATGCAATCCTGGGTAACAATAGCCCTGAGCCTTGGTTTCCTCCTCTGTTAAATGGGTATGATAGCAGCATCTGTTGCTGGGGTGACAGAGGAGGCATGGAGATGACAGATGGAGAGCTCTCCAGGATGGCAGCAGGCACACAGTAAACACTCAAGAAATGCTGGTCACAATGATGCTGGCTCTGGGGATGATGCTGGTGCTGGTGCTGGGGGTCAGTCCGCACAGGCCAGTGCTCCCCACCCAGTGGGCCATGCCAAGACCCATCTGATTGGCTTGGGGCTGGGCATGGGCCTTGTGAGCATCAATCCACATTCTGGTCATCAGCCCCTGAGACAGCCAGCATGAGAGCTGTGCCCAGAGGGGGCAGCTGTGCTGGCTGGGGAGCACGGACAGGAGAAAGTCAGCAGTTGGAAGCAGGCAGAGAAGACAGTGTGGATATAGAAGGAGGTTGCAGGAACCAAGGGGAGGGGGCATGAGAAGGCAGGATTGATGGGGCAGGAAGAGCCACAAACTCTAAGAATCCAGGTGACCAGAAGCCATGAGGAAGGAGGTGGCACAAAGCAGAGAACAGGGGGGCCGCAGCAACTGCGGGAAGTTGCGGGACATGAGGCTGTGAGAGCCCAAGGAAGCAGTTCCCAGGGGGCGGCAGAAGCAATGGGAGCCAGCTGCCTGACAGCTGAGACCTGTGACCCCTCATGCCCTAAGCAGTCTTACCCGAGGCCCTTCCCACAGATTATGGAAGAAAGCGAGCTCATCAGGTACCCCTGGGGAGTGGGAACATGGCTTACTGTGAGCAATTGTTAACATTATGATTAATATTTATCAATGATACGGACATTGCTAATTCGCTTGAATCATTAATTGCTTGTTCGTGAGTGCTTACTATGTGACCACCGCTGTGGCTAAGCATTTGACTTACACGGTCCTCCAAACCCCTCTAGAGTAGGTCCTATGTTCCTTCCTCTTCTACAGAGGGAGCAATTGAGGCACAGAGTAGTCAAATCACATGCCTTAGATCCCACAGCCTCAAAGCAACAGAGCTAGGATTTGAACCCAGGTGGGTATGATTTCTTGGACAATCTCTTAATTCCTGCACTCCTGGAGCACTTGTGTTGTATTGTTTAAATTTCTTTAAATGTTTGCATGCCACCTGTGCAGAAAAGGATGAACACAGCAGGCCTGAAATGTTCTCCTTGGAAAGACCTGCTGGCAAGCTGAGCCCTGGGCTGGTGTCTGGGAAGCTGGATTTCTGGAGGATTCCCAGCACTCCATTACTGAGGGGAGGGCTCACTGGGCCTCAATGGTTTGTGCAAACAATGTGGCTTACACTGACTATCTGCTTTCCTTCTGGGAGGCTGGCATTTGGGTACAAGTTAGGCAGAGAGTGCTATGTGACCTGCCCCCAATAATAGCCCTGGGCACTGAGTCTCTGACGAGCTTCCATGGACATCTCACATGTGTTGTTACACCTCACTGCTGGAGGAGTTAAGTGCATTCCATGCGGCCCCACCGGGAGAGGACTCCGGACACTCATACCTGGTCTTTCCTGGACTTTGCCCCCTGTGGCTTTTCCCTTTGCTGACTTTGCCCTGATTCCTTTCACTGTAATAAACCATCGCCCTGAGCACGACTACAGGCTGAGTCCCGTGAGTCCTCCTAGCAAAGCACCAATCCTAAAGGTGGTCTCGGGGATCCCTGACCCACCACCCCACAGCAAGGCTGTGCCAGCCTTATAAAAACAACGGAAGCCCGTGCCCTCTTCCACGTGGAAATGCTGCGGCTGAGCACCCGGCACCCATCTGAACAGCTGGGCATCGGAGGTCCCTGCACCTGTGGGAGCCTGTTTCTTCTAAGTGGTGAGATCCAAAGGGCGGCCCTCCTCGGCCACCACCCGTGATCTTCCTGGATGCCCTTCAGGGTTGTGAGAGGATACAAGTCTCAATGTTGGCGCCCACGATATACCCGGCAACGTCAAAGTTGATGCGAATGAATTTGCCCTGAGGGGGGGGTAGTGGTGGGAGGGCTTCAGCTGAGGGTCCTCTCATCCACCCTCAGACCTGAAGGGTGCCCCAAACCATTCGCCCACCTCTCCCAGAGCTGGGGCTGCCCCTTGACTTTCTCTCTCCCTCTACCTGAACCCAACCGTCATTTTGAGCCCCCACTGAGGGACTCCCTGGGGAATCCAAGGTCCAGGCTGCTTTGACTTCTTTCTTCAGGACCCTGGTCCCCAGCCCCGTCCTCCCTCAGACCCAGGAGGCCCGCCCCCCAGCCCCTCCCTCACCCAACAGACCCACATGTCTTGGCCCCCAACACCCATCCCCCAGCTCCTGTACCCCTGACCCACATCCATGCTCTGCCCTCCCCCGGCACTCACGAATCGGGAGGAGTTGTCATTCTTCACTGTCTTGGCGTTGCCAAAGGCCTCCAGGATGGGATTGGCCTGAAGAAGCTGCCGCTCCAGCTCCCCCTGCAGGGTGCGGGAGAGGCTGCATCAGTGAGAACGGGGCGGGGCCGGCCCAGCCAGCGGCTGCATCTACAGCAGCTGAACACCTGCGTGTGAGCGGCCTCTGCCTATGGGTGTTGTGTGCCCACTTCTCTGCCTCTGGGACTTGCCCACCCATCTGTTGTGAGGGGAACAGGGAGATGTCTCCAAGACATATTGTTGAGTGGAAACCAAATCAAACAAAAACAAGTTGCAAAACAACACCTGCAATGTGATCCCATTAATAAAGAAAAAACATGACAAAACAAGACTCTTATTTCTACAGATATATACATGCTGGTAAACGTACAGAAAACGGTGTGCAAGGATACACACCAGACTGTCAACAGTGTAAGCCATTCCAAGGAAAGGGGCCGAGAGAAAGAAAGCAGGATTTCACTTTGACTTTTTTTTTTGTTGCTACAATGAATACTCATATATTACTTGTAAAAATTTTTTTTTTTTTTTAAGATGACCGGTAAAGGGATCTCAACCCTCAGCTTGGTGTTGTCAGCACCACGCTCAGCCAGTGAACGAACCGGCCATCCCTATACGGGATCCGAACCAGTGGCCTTGGTGTTATCAGCACCGCACTCTCCCGAGTGAGCCACGGGCCGGCCCTACTTGTAGAATTTTTAATTAAGGGGAAAATCTATACCATCTATGTAAAGAGCTTCAAACTGTCTGGCACACAGTATGCATTCAAGAAATGGTAGTTTTCTTCTCCAGCCAGGCTGCTCCACGGTAGGGACCTTACTCTGATCTCCCTCCAGTCCCCTCAGTGTTAGAGCCAGGCACATAGTAGGAGCTCAGTAATAATGTGTATTTTCTCTTAGTCTACAACTTGCTTGTGTTAGGATGAAATGGTATAAGCTAGGTGTGTGGCTTTGTCAAATGAAAAAACATATGCAAGGGGGAGGGCATGTGGCTTGGCACACAGAAGCACTTGATACATGAGCTCAGTTCCCTAGTAAGCTGTCAACTCTCTGGGTTGCGTGAATGCACAGCACCTGTAGGCCCTGTCTACACACATTTAGTAGATCAGCAGTAAATGATAGTTTTGCTCTCTGAGTTGTTTCATGTTGGTATCTGTGGCCCATCTGCACACACACAGTAGGCTGCCATAAATAGCCAAGGGGACCCTGCTTCCATGCACAGAGTAGGACTGCACTAAACAGCAGACCGGTAAGGGGATCTCAACCCTCAGCTTGGTGTTGTCAGCACCACGCTCAGCCAGTGAACGAACCGGCCATCCCTATACGGGATCCGAACCCGTGGCCTTGGTGTTATCAGCACCGCACTCTCCCGAGTGAGCCACGGGCCGGCCCTACTTGTAGAATTTTTAATTAAGGGGAAAATCTATACCATCTATGTAAAGAGCTTCAAACTGTCTGGCACACAGTATGCATTCAAGAAATGGTAGTTTTCTTCTCCAGCCAGGCTGCTCCACGGTAGGGACCTTACTCTGATCTCCCTCCAGTCCCCTCAGTGTTAGAGCCAGGCACATAGTAGGAGCTCAGTAATAATGTGTATTTTCTCTTAGTCTACAACTTGCTTGTGTTAGGATGAAATGGTATAAGCTAGGTGTGTGGCTTTGTCAAATGAAAAAACATATGCAAAGGGGAGGGCATGTGGCTTGGCACACAGAAGCACTTGATACATGAGCTCAGTTCCCTAGTAAGCTGTCAACTCTCTGGGTTGCGTGAATGCACAGCACCTGTAGGCCCTGTCTACACACATTTAGTAGATCAGCAGTAAATGATAGTTTTGCTCTCTGAGTTGTTTCATGTTGGTATCTGTGGCCCATCTGCACACACACAGTAGGCTGCCATAAATAGCCAAGGGGACCCTGCTTCCATGCACAGAGTAGGACTGCACTAAACAGCAAGCAGGCCATGGGTGCATGCAGTAGGGCTGCCATAAGCAGCAATGGGGGCCCTGGCAGGTATGCCTGTTGGTGCCTTGGACCCTGTCTATTAGGAAGACCGTGAGCTGGGGTGGCCAGGGCAGCATTAGGGGTAGTAAGAGTGAGGTGATCCCCTGCTACTCACATAAGACATGTTGCTGGTGGACGCCTGAGGAAGTCACAGGACACGAGACATGGATCAGGACACGGCACATGAAACATGGACAGACACAGGTGAACCGGTGGTCTAGGGCAGTGGTGAGGTAGGGGGGCAGAGGAACTCGGGAAAACAGGAGTGTGGAGTGCGGTGGCCTGGGAGGAACCACATGCCTGGGTTTGAACCCTACTATACCCCTTCCTGATTATGTGACCAACAACTTAGTCACCCCATCTGTGCTTGGGGTTTCTCATCTTTAACACAGGAAAACAGTGTTAAGTTAATGTGAGCAAAGAGCTTAGAATAGTGGGGAACACTATATAATGTTCACTTAGACAAAAACTGGGCATTGTGCACACCTAAAACCAGGCCCCACACACAGTAGGTGCTCAGAAAATGAAGCACCTACTAAGTGCCAGGTGCCATTCCAAGGGCCTCGCATCTCTGCATCCACCCTGCCCCGCTCCAAGTGCCACTCCAGGCAAACAGTAGGTACTCAGGTGACTTGGGCAGCCACAAGAAGTCCCCACACTAACCATGGCCTTCCATAAGGGAGGCAGGCAATGTGGTGGGTGGAGCAGACCCCAAGACGGAGGAGGCATTGCTGTCGGCAAGGCCAGGGGCTGTCCCAAGGCTGAATGCTTACAGGGACACCTGGCTCCTTCCTGCCCTTTGGCGAGGATGCCACATGGGCAAGGTACTGGATGACCTTCTTGGTGTTTTCCGTCTTCCCAGCTCCAGACTCCCCACTGTGGAGAGAAGGGGAAGCAAAGGCAATCAGCCATAAGGCCAGGCAAGCCCCCGCTGCCCTGCCCATCCCAAACAGAGCCACACCCAGCGGGGACCCCTCCTCCTCCAGGAAGTCCTTCCACATTACTCACGTGCAGAGAATGGACTGATCCTCACGATCTGCAGGGGACAGAGGAAGGGGGCCATGTCACCTGAGAGGGTCTCTCCAGCAGGACCCCCTGGCCCTTACACTGGCTACTGCCTTTTCAAAATCATTCTTGACGAGTAAAGAAAAGCTTGAGTTTTCATGCACGACACTCCTGAATTCTAATACCCCGCCCCGACTAGGCCTCGCGCTCACTGTGTGACCCTGGGAAATCAGCTGTCCCTCTCTGAGCTTGATTTCCTCACCTCTAAAGTGGAGACAATAAATCCCAAGTGAACAGAATATGAGAGCACTTCAAAAAGTTAGTGGAAAAATAGAATTAAAAGATCATACAAATCTTTCCATGAACTTTTTGAAGACCCCTTGTATCATTCATTCAACAATCTCAATTAGAGACCATACTGTATGTCACCTGATGCTGGGCGTGAGAAAACCAAAGACAAGAGAGTGAGGTCCTGGACTCCAGAGTTTCCCCTTTGATACAAGATGCCTCCCCCAGCATCTACCCTGGGCCTGACACAACCCTTCCACAAATGCACACTGACCACCTACTAAGCACCAGGCACCAATGGGATTGAGGAGTTGGCGAGGTGTCTATCCTCATGGAGCTTCCACTTAAGTGCGGAAAACGAAAAGACACAGAAACTACTTAGGAATCTTCTGCCTCCAAATGTCCATAGAGCCAGGATTGAGAAACTCTGCTAGAAAGTAACAGAAAGTGACTTGGGGAGGAGGAGAAGGGAGAAGACCAGGAAGCCTTCTCGGAAGAGTTGACATTTAAAGCAGGGGAGAGTGTTCCAGGCAGAGGACACAGCCAGGGCAAAGGCCTTGAGGTAGGACCAAGTTAGGAAAGTCTGGGAGACAGACAGGAGGCCATTGGGGCTGGGAGAGGGGACAGAGAGGGTGAGTGGTGCTGACAGGTTTTGAAGCCATGATTAAATGGTCTGGATTTTTTTTTAAGAAGGGGGATAGGCCTCTGGACGGTTTTAAGCCAGGGAGTGAGCTGTATTCAATAGGGCCTCAGAGTCAGCAGACTGGGTTAGAGAGCCATATGGGCATGGGTTCAAGACCCAGCTGCCTCTCTGCCTTCCTGTGTGACACTGGGCCAGCCTCTGGGTTGCTCTGTGTCTTGGTTTCCCCATCTGAAAAATGGGGCTCAAAACAGCCCATCTCACAGAGTTGTAGTCAGAACTCAGGGAGAATGTTCAAAATGTGATCAGCATGGTTCCTGGCACAGGACAAAAGTACAATACACAGTGTGACATACAGAGAGGCAGCATCAGGGGCCCCACCTTGGCCACCCACCCACCAGTGTAACCACTGGAAATAACTGCAGTGCTCTGTGCCTCTCTTTACCCACGTGGAAATCAGGGCTAACGAGAGACAGTGTGACATACAGAGAGGCAGCATCAGGGGCCCCACCTTGGCCACCCACCCACCAGTGTGACCATTGGAAATAACTGCAGTGCTCTGTGCCTCTCTTTACCCACGTGGAAATCAGGGCTAACGAGAAAACCTACTTCATGGGGTTGCTATGAGGTTAAATGAGTTAACCCAGCAAAAACTGATAGAACTGACAGGAGAAATAGATGAATCCACTATTCTAGTTGGAGACCTCAACACCCCTCTATCATAAATAAACAGATCCAACAAGTAGGAAATCAGTAAGGACACAGCTGAACACAACACCATCAATCAACCAGATAGAATGGACATCTGTAGACTATGTCATGAAACAACAGCAGAATGCACATTCTTCTCAAACTCACATGGAACATTTCCCAAGACAGACCACTTTCTGGGCCATGAAACACATCCTAGCAACTTTGTTTTTGGTGGCTGGCCAGTAACGGGGACTGAACCCTTGACCTCGGTGTTACAAGGCTGCACTTTAACTGACTGAGCTAACCAGCCAGCCTTTAACAACTCTAAAAGAAAAGAAATCATACAATGTCTGCTCTCAGATCACAGTGAAATTAAACTAAAAATCAGTAGCAGAAAGATAACTGAAAAATTCCAAAATATGTGAGGATCAAACAACACCCTTCTAAACAACATATGCATGAAAGAAAAAAATCTCGAGAAATAAGTTAATCCATGTAAAGTGCTTGGCACAGAGTAGGCACCCACCCTTACTTTATTGTATATTGATTCCTAAAATATATAATAACTTGCATATAATAATAGCTAAAAATTATTATAAAAATAAATATATAACAAATTATATAATCAAATAAACTGTTACCTCTTACTATATATAAATTTATAGTGTGAGTATAAGTATATTTTCTATGAGTATGTTCTATTACACAACATATTATATATTGTATATTATACCAGTGGTTCTCAAACTTGAGCCCACATAAGAACCATCTGGGGACCTTGTCAGAAATGAAAACTTGGGCCCCACTTCAGATAAAATCTGCTGAGTCAGAAACTGTGGGTGGTGCTTAGCAATCAGTGTTTTTTTTTTTTTTCCTTTTTGTCTTTTTTCGTGACCGGTAACGGGATCACAACCCTTGGTGTCGCGCCCGTTCTTCGCTCAACCAGTGAGCGGACCAGTCTCTATATGGGATCCGAACCCTCGGCGGGAGCACTGCCACGCTCCCAAGTGCCGCACTCTACCGTGAGCGGACCGGTCTCTATATGGGATCCGAACCCTCGGCGGGAGCACTGCCGCGCTCCCAAGTGCCGCACTCTACCAAGTGCGCCACCGGGCCAGCCCAGCAATCAGTGTTTTTACAAGTTCCTAGGTGATGCTGATGTTGCTGGTAAGGAGACCACACTCTATGAACCACTGCATTATACAATGTAAATATATTATTATAACAGAGAACAGAAATACATTAAACAAGTATAATACATTCAGTATAAACATACTGCTGTACACTATTATAGTCATATGATATAAACTGATATAAATTTTTTAATGTTTATCATGTATTTAGCATATACTAAATATTTATTCAAATAGATGATATATAACAAATACATTATGTCTATTACATACATTCATTACATAATTTTACCCCTTACCAGCCAGCCACCAAAAATGAATTTAAAAATTAATGAATTAATTTTGCCAGGACTGATCTGCATTGTCACAGGGTGGATGGCAGCCCGTTAGGCGGGGCTAGGGTGCACACCTAACCAGCTGCACACAGCAGCCTCACGCAGCCATCTGTCTAAGGGGCTGCATATCCCCCAAGAAAACGTAGATCATGTCTATAATTCAACAATAAATGTTGAATGAATGAACACTGAGAATTACTGTCTCAAGGGAAACTTTTACAGAAGCCTGGTACCAATTGGCTCCCAAACAATATTGTTGAGAAAAGGGGTGAACAGATAGATAAAAAGGGGCCTGCGTGGTAACATCTAGGATCTTCCTCACTCAGCCCTCTATTTCTATTCCCTCTGACCCCCTAAGAAGTGTCACAGAGTCTGAAATCCCTGAGCTATCATCTGACCCGGACCCTCACTCCTGGCAGCTCCCTGCAGCAGTGCCTGGCCCAGCCTCCACTGAAGAACTGCCTCACAGGCCTAAAGCCCCAGACCCACACTCACCCTGGAGCATGCTTCGGTAGGCCCCCTCGGTCACCGCATACACATGGGGAGGCACCTCGTGGCGCTTCTTGCCCCGGTACATCTCCACAATGGCCTCCGTGTAGATGGGAAGCTGCTTGTATGGGTTGATGACCACACAGAAAAGGCCGGAGTATGTCTACAGTGGGCAAGAGGGGAGAGGGCCTCAGCTGCCTGCCTGCAGCCCAGAGAGCAACACAGAGCTGCTGGGTACAGCTGGGCAGGTTGTACACTGCACAAGGGTATCTGCGCATGGTCTGTCTACACTATGACAATGTAGATTTGAATATTTGTTATGAATATTTTCAGACTGATGATAGAAAAGAATCTTTCCAAATTACACAAAGGCACTATATAGATGAAGATTTTCCCCAAGAGAGAATGTGGGCTTTGCAGCCAGCCAGACTTGGGTCATAGCCTGTGGTTGCCTGGACTTACACACACATGAAATTACCATGTGTGAGATCGTCCGAGTAAGCATTCTTTGCAGCTGCAAAAAACTGGAAATGAACTAAATGTACATTCACACAATGGATTCCTACGAATCCACTGAACGTCAGTGTACAGATATGGGACTATCTCCAAAATACTATCAAGTGAAAGGAAATGAGTTGAGAGCTGTGCATGATAAGCTACCATTTGCATGAAAAGGGTGGAAGAGGAATATTTTTATATATTTGCTTGAAGACACATATCTCCGGAAGGGGGCTCATGGTATCTGAAGCAACTGAAATGCAGCAGGAACAGATTCACAGGTCCTTCTATGATTGTGTTTAGTGGTACATTCTTATTGGAGAAAATACTAAATTTCAGGTTCGAGGTGCATGAAAATAAAGATATAATTTTTTTTTTGGCATCCAAGTTCATGGACCCCCTGAATCCTATACACACACCCGTTGGGCCTAGATTCAGGACTCTGTAACAGTTTAAGGACCACTCCATCAGAGTATCAGAGAGGCAAGAGGCACTCAACATACACAGAGGCATTAGATCACTAGAGAACTAGCTAGCCACTTAGCTAAACCAGCCAGAGAGATAACTAGCTAAGCTAGCTAAAGTTAGATAGCTAAACTAGGCAGAGAGCTAGCTGCTTAATGGCTTAGGTAGTTAACTATTTAACTAGTTAGCTACTTGAGCCAGCTAGTCACCTACTTAGCTAGTTAACTGGCTAGCTGGTTAGCAGCAGGACTGCTTTACACTCCCAGAATGCCTGGGCTTCTCAAGCAGGGTAGGGTGTGGCCATCACAGGCTTCCCGGCTCCCAGGTGCCAACCTTCTAACGGTGGGAGGGTGGGTGGCCAGCCAGGAGTAGAACAACCGGTTTGCTGGGCGTCTGCCCTCCCGGCCTGCAAGGGCTGCTCCCAGGAGCTCTCTGGCTCTCAGAGGGCGGGGCAGCCAGACCACATTCCCTGGGAGGGTATCTCATGGCTGCTGGCGCCCCGGCCCCCACCCCTAGCTGGCGGAGGGACCCACTCCCCATGCCACCCCCCCAATGCCTGTCCCCTCCTACCAGCCACACCTCATTCCCAGACAGACACCCTGGGAACAGAAACCTGAGCTACCCAAAAAGGCCAGAGGGGCAAAGGGCAGAGGCTGGTGTACCCAGAGAAGGTTGGGGATACCATGTCACCAGGATGGAGCTGATCTGGAATGGCTGCCCCAGCCCTCAGGGCTCTGAAGACAGACCTGTCCCCACCTCTCTATACCCCAGAGACATTCCCCATAGTCTCAGTTTCCTCCTTGAGAAATGGAGGACGACACTCCCCACCTCATTACAAAGGCTGTAGGGATTAAGAGAGATAATGAATAAAAACCAGCTGGGCCAAGGCAGAGCCCATATAATGCACTCTAAATATGGGTCCTGAGACTCTCACATTTCCCATCCCCACTGGGAGCCAAGGGCTTGCTCAGACTTTGAAGCTACGCCATGCTGAGTTTGAGTTCAGATGCAGCATTTTCTGGCTAAGTGTGACTTTGCACAAAGGGTTTGCCCTCTCTGAAGCTCAGTTTCCAGCCCTGTCACCTAGAAGGGTTCTAAGAGGGAAATGCTATAATGCATCTTCCAGTGCCTCTCAGAGCAGGGAGCTCCATTAATGGGTTCCCTCCCTGCCCCAATAGTCCAAGTAAATGGACTGAGAACCTGAGCGACTCAAGGCCAAACAGCCTATCAGTGGCAGAAACTAGATTTTTGGAGCCCCACACACTCCACTTTCTACTCGGCAGCACTACCTTCCCCACCACCAGTTGGCCAGTCAACAAACATGTATTAAACACAAGTCCTAAGACAAGTAGGGCGGAGCTTGAATCCTAGCTCTAACATTTTCTAGCTTGGTGGCTTGAGCAAGCAACCATTCTGAACTTCACTGTCATCCTCTAATGGGGCAGGAATAGCACTTCCCACAAAGGGTGGCTGGAAGCCATCCACAAGTTCATGAGGTATGCACAGGGCTTAGCATGGACCCCAAAACACTGCATGTTCAATACGTAGACATTATCAGCCCTCTCCAAGCTGTTGAAACAGGAGGCTATAATCCTTACCTCACAGCCTTATGTGGATGGAGAGAGGGTCAACAGGATCATATTGCAAAGAAGTTTATAGCAGCAACCAACCGAGAAAGTGGGCACTCACTAAGTGCTAATGATTATTATTAAGGCCCAATTTGCTTCCCAACTTGGCTTCTGGAATCTTCTATCTCACTTTCATTTCTTAGGCCTCAATTCTCTGGCTCCCTGGCCACAGCCTTAGCTCAGGCCCCACCATATTTTCCCGTGAACTTTCTGAATAATACTCCTAGTGCAGTGGCTAGCATCTGGGGTCTGGAGTCAGACCAACCTGAGTTCAAATCCAAACTTAGCCCTTTTCTAGCTATGGGCTTTGTCCAAGTCCTGCACTCTCTCTGAGGCTCCATTTCCCTACCTGCAGAATGGGATGAGACCAGATACCTCACAAGGTTGCTGGAAGGGTGCAGAGTATTTATTAAAAGACAAAGTGGCTCAGTATTTTGGGTGTCACTCTGATCTCCCTGGCCTTTGGTGAGATGCAGGGAAGTGGATCAGGCAGAAGCCTGTTTCCCAGAGCTTGTAAAGGTGTGTGAGTAATCGGAAGGGGCTGGTGCAGTGGGAGAAGGCACCAACCTTATTCAGGATCAGACAGCCCTCAATTCAAATCCCACATCTGCCACCACAAGCTGAGGGGCCCTAAGCCAACCACTGCCCTCTCAGAGCCTTGGTCTCCAAATGAGAGTTAGACTTCCTAAAAATATTCTAATCTTGGGCTTTGTGACCCTCAAGAGGGTGGATGTTGGAGCAAGGCCGTGAGACCCCACCAGTCTAAGCTGGTGTTTGGAGCATGACTCTGGGGCCAGCTGCCTGGGTTCAAATCCTAGCATGACTCCTTCATGGCTGGATCACCCAGGCCCCCATCACTTAACATTCCTTAAACATCAGGCGTTATCAACAGTCCCTGGCCCAGAGGTGAGCTGCTAACCTACAAGCAGCACTTAGAACAGTGCTTGGCACATCATAAGTCCTCAGTAAATATTTGCTAGCTATCCATTATTATTATTTTTCATTATTATTGTCGACATTCCTTGTCAAACTCTCTCATCCTGTTTGCTCTTATGTTAAATGGAATTAATAACTCCTTGGCTGACCATTAGAACTACCCTGGAAGCTTATTAAAAATACCAATGCCCATGTCATGGTCCCAGAGAGCTTAATTTAAATGGTCTGGGGTGGGGCTCAGGCCTCCCAGAGCTACTTTCTAAGACTTCCCCAGATGATTCTAACATGAAGCCGGGATTAAGAACCATTACCCTTCCCCATCCATTTGCTGTAAAGATTAACGTGACAGACATCAAATACTTAGCACAGAGGTGGTTTGACCACCAGAGTCAACCTCACTATCATCAATTCCATCTTAATCGTAAGAGGCACCATAGCAAAGTGAGAAAGGCTGGAGCCAGACTACCCAGGTCTATGCATGACCTTGGTCAAGGAACTTGACCACTCTGTGCCTCAGTTTCTTTATCTGTAAAATGGGGACCAAATGCTTTATAATTGTGAAAATTTACTGAGACAACTATTTTAGAAAGCTTAGAAGAATGCTTAGTAAATGCTTAGCAATTGTTAGGTTTCATTGTTATTAACTTTCTCTGGGCCTCAGTTGCCTCTTATGTAAACTGGGGATAATAATAGACTCTACCTGACCTAAAGTGAGATTAAATAAATTAATGTATAGAAGGCCGTTAAGACAGAGCTATCATGTCGTTTCTATACTCATTGGTTCTCATAAATTATCATTACAGATCCATATCCCTTTTTCAAAACCCTTGGGGTGAATTATATTTGAGGAATCGGAATTTTTTATATTTTAGAAAAACAATACGATTTACCGATCACATATGTTACATGACACCCCTCATCGGGTCTGAGGCTGTCCTACTAATCCAATCATTTATAATTTGGCAACTAAGTGTAGGAATAGTTAACAGCACATGGGATAAAGATTATAAATAGCCTCAAGTTAATTGAGGTGGGGATGCTGACACTCAGCTGCCCACCCTGGACGAGGCTCTCCCACAGGCAGGAGGCCACTCACATAGATGAGGCCTGAGTAGTATCGCTCCCGAAGGTTGTGCAGGACCGAGGCCTCATTGAGGCAGGTCAGCTCAGCCATATCCTCCGCCTTGCTGAACTTGGGGGGGTTCATGCGCTGGATCTGGTCCCGTGGAAGCCGCAGCCGCCGCCCGCTCTCCGCCAGCTCCACCTCGGCCTCCTCCTCTCCCTCATCTCGCAGCGCCGCGGCCTCGAACCCATGGAGCTCCGAAGGCACCCACACGAGGCGCCGGGCCGTCCACTCCACCTGTGGGGAGGTGCCCGAGCTCCCAGGCCCGCCACCCACGCTGGGCCCGCTGGGCGCAAACAGAAACGACTGGGCTGCCTCAGGCACCGGGCCCGGCCTGGAGGGCACCTTCCGCCCAGGCACCGACATGGTCACCGCTGCCATGGTCTGCAAGGGAGAAAGAAAGGGGTGGTGGTCAGGTGTGGGTAGAGGTCAGGTGATGCTCCATCCCCAGTGCCCCCCACCCCAACCCCAATTCCCCCAGGCAATTCCCTCTGCCTTCCTTCCCCAGACTTCCTTTCACACTTCTGCAAAATGGGTCAATAGACCTAGCGCACTCATTCCATTCATCCACCTCTCTACCCATTCATCCATTCATCCATCCATTCATTCATTCATTCATTCATGCATGCAATAATTACTTAATAAGCAAGGCTGAGAAGTAGGCATAGTTCTAGGCCTTGTCAATAGACCTAGCGCACTCATTCCATTCATCCACCTCTCTACCCATTCATCCATTCATCCATTCATCCATTCATTCATTCATTCATGCATGCAATAATTACTTAATAAGCAAGGCTGAGAAGTAGGCATAGTTCTAGGCCTTGTCAACTTAGCAATGAACAAGTCAGAAAAAGATCCCGACCTTCATAAGGAGTTTACATCCTAGCCCTGGTCTGTCCCATACGGGAGCTACCACCACATGTGGGCTGCTCAGCACTTGACTTGCAGCAAGTGCAACTGAGGAAACAAATGCTTAATTTTATTCCATTTAATTAAATTCAAATATAAATAGCCCCTTGTGGCTACTAGACACTTGGTTTTCTAAGTGTAAAATACACATCTAATTTCAAAGACTTAGAATGACAAAATGATAGCTTATTGGTATTTTTTTGATGACATAAAATAATGATATTTTGAATATATTGGATTAAATAAAATATATCATTAACATTAAAGTCACCTGTTCCTTTTCAATTTTTTTCTTTCTTTTTTTTCTTTTTTTTTTTTTGTCTTTTGTCTTTTTCCGTGTCCGGCAACGGACCGCAACCCTCAGTGTCGCGCCCGCACCGGACCACACCGGCAGCGGGATCGCAACCCTTGGTGCTGCGCCCGCACCTCGCTCAGCCAGTGAGTGGGAACCGGTCTGTATGTGGGATCCGAACCCTCGGCGGGAGCACCGCAGCGCTCTCAAGCGGCGCACTGTAGCAGTGCGCCACCGGGCCGGCCCCAATTTTTTTCTTTCTTAATGTAGCTAATAGAAAATTTTAAATTCCAGGGCCAGCCCGTGGTTCACTCGGTAGAGTGCGGTGCTGATAACACCAAGGCCACGGGTTCGGATCCTATATAGGGATGGTCGGTTTGCTCACTGGCTGAGCGTGGTTCTGAGAACACCAAGCCAAGGGTTGAGATCCCCTTACCGGTCATCTTTAAAAAAAAAAAAGAAAGAAAGAAAATTTTAAATTCCATATTTGGCTTGCATTCTATTTCTACTGAACAGAGCTGCTCTAATCCCAGGAGACAGATTAAAAGATAAATAAGTAAATTATATAGTATGTTAAATGGTGATAAAATGCCAAGGAGATAAATAAAGCAGGGAACAGAGGATGTTGGGGTTGAGGATGTTGAAGTTTCAATCAGGGTGGCCAGGGAAGGCCTCTCTGATGTGGCATGTAAATAAGGACCCGAGAGATGAAGGGAGCAAGCCATGGGGAAGTCAGGAGGAAAGGCTTTCCAGACAGCCAGTGCAAGGACCCTGAGGCAGGAAGATGCCTGTATGTCTGTGGCTGGTGTGGCTGGAGCCGAGTCACTGAAGGGAAGAGAGTAAGGAGGTGAGGTAAGAGAGGGAATAAAAGATGTGACCTTGCTTTTACTCTAAGATATGAGCCCAGGGAGGATACCGATGTAATTTTTGTCATTCAGGTTTTTTTCTGACCACCTCTGGTCACGCCTTCCTCACGCCTGCAGAACAGACTCAAATCTTACCACCTCACTTAACAGTTACTTCCTTCTTCCAGACCTGGCTTCCTTCTCCTTAAATTGGGGAGGCTGGCCTTACTCACTCAGTCCTTCATTCATCTGACACTCTCTGAGGCCTTTCAAGCACCAGGCTCTGCTCAGAGTGGGTCTGGGGACCCAGAGATGAGTCAGACAGGTGCCCTGCCTCGAGGAGCTCCTAGCCTGGGGGTGAACCCAGCTCTAGTCTCAGATCACGACAATGGAACATGAGCTGTAAACTATGATGGAGGCAACCATCCCAGAGTAAGCCAGAATGTGCCAGGCCCCTCCCTGCCCTCCAGGGGGCCACAGACTGTAGTGAACAGACACAGCACTTCCCCAGCAGTCCAAGCATCAGTTGGAAAAAAAATATTCTCCCTGTCCCACATTGTGCCCTCCTCCTGAAGAAGTCTGCCCCTACTCTCGTCCAGTGCCCCAGACATACCCACTACTGTGCCACCACATGAGTCACAGAACACTGGAACACTTCTGCCTCCCCCACCTTAATGCTTCTACGTCTGCCCATCAGGCCTAGAGACACCTGCCGCCGCCACCCCCATACCCCTGGGGAAATATTTCCAAACACCCAGCTCCCCTTCAAGTATCCACAGATCTGGTCCCAACAGACTCCTGTCTTGCCCTCGGAGCTTCTCTACATGGAAACTCAGCTCTGGCTCATAAGTCCCACTTCCTCCCAGACCATGTCCTCATCCCCCAGCACCAGCAGTTCTTGTTCCTGATGCTCTTGGGCCTCAAACCCTGGACCCCTGCACTCCAAAAACAGTGGGGCATTTCTCCACCCACCCCACCCCCGACCTCTAAATGGCCAAGGCTCACCCCAGGCCCCTGTGTGGCCTTGATACACCCAGAGCCAAGCTCCATCTCTGGGACTTTACCCCATACCCTCTACCCACCCCACCCTACCCACTTCCTCTCCAGCGCTGTGGCCTTTGACCAGGAAGGGTTTGGGAGTTTTTGCAGTCGCCCAGTCTTATGCCTCCCCTCCTTGGAGCCAGAAGTCCAAGCCCCTATCCCTCTCCTCCCCCAGGCTCACTAGTCGGGGTCCCCAGCCTCCTAATCTTCCAGGACCCAGGAGTCTGAATCCCCAGCCCTTTCCTCCCTTGGAACCACAAGTGCAGGCCCCCTCACCTCACTGCAGCTGAGCTAGAGGTGAGGATACTGAGCCTGAGGATGAAGAAAAGTCCTGATGAGGCGGGCTTGCAAGTCCTACCTCCAAAGGGCTGAGCCCCTCTGGCTACCCCGCTCTCCCTCAGCCAGCAGGAACGCTCTACCAGGGCTCATTACTATCACCTGGGCAGGTGAAAGCACCTGCCCTGGGAGGGGCAGAGACTGCTGGGCTTGAAAAGGAAAAGGAGCCAGGGATCCACCCCTGGGGCAGGGGTTGGGGCCCTTGGCATCCAGCCCTCTGACTTCAGCTTAGTGCTATGATTCAGGGATTGCAATTCAGGAGTTCCGGTCCCCCACCCCCTCCTCCTTCAGGCCCAGGAATCCAGGCCCCCAGCCCGCACTCCTACAAACCCGGAATCCAGGCTCCAAATTCCCTCTTCCTTCAAGACCCAGGACTCCAGGCCCCCAGACCCAGAATCCTGTCCCCAGTCCTTTCCTCCTTCAAGACCCAGGACTCCAGGCCCCCAGACCCAGAATCCTGTCCCCAGTCCTTTCCTCCTTCAAGACCCAGAAGTCCCGGCTCGCGGCGCCGTCCTCACTCAGACCGGGGATACCTGGTCCCCAACCCCCCTCCACGGATCCAGGAGTCCGAGCGCCCAACACCCTTCTCCCCAGGATACAAGCGCCCGAGTCGCCGCCCCCTCAACCCGCCAATCCTCAGGGCTACCTGGGGGCGCCGGCCAGAGCAGGGAGATGGGAAGGGGACACGAGAATCCCAGGACCTCTTCAGAGCACTCAGGTGCTGCTACCTCCGCGGTCCAGCGCGGGGCGGGGCCACGTCGCGTCCCGGGGCGGGGGCCCGGCTCTGACGTCACCAAGCACCTGCCGGTCTGGGGAAGGGGGCGGGTCCTGGAGCTGCTGGGCCTTTGACAGGGAGAAGTGGGGGGGGACTGGGATGAGCCAGTCGCCAGGTGGGCGGCGGCGGCGGCGGCGCCAAGGGCTCCTCCTTCTTGCGGGCAAAGGTCAAGGACCTGCGGCGGAGAGAACTGAGGATTCCTGGGATTCGAATCCCGCTCAAGCTTCCCGGGGCTCAGCTTTCCTCTCTGTGAATTGCGGCCAATGAAATTAATAATAAAAGGAAGCGGAGAAAGTGCCCAGCCAGTGCTTCATCATTTAACCTCTCTGAGCCTGCTTCCTCAACACTGGAAATGGAACAACACAATCCACTTACGAGTACCGAGGAAGACGACAAAATGTTATTCCGGCCTCCCGAGCTTCAGTCTCCTCACGGGTGACATGAGAACTAAATAGTGATAAGAGCGCCTACTATGTGCTAGGTGTTTTTCTGCTCTTTGAACAGCTCTTCCAGATCACAAAATGCTCTCAAAACCAATGAGATAGAAACGATCAGCATCGCCATTTCTCTGATGGGGAAACTGAGGCACGGAGCAGCAACGTAACACAATCAAGATCATACAGTCAGTAAGAGAGCTAGGATTTAAGCCCAGACCGTTATCTGCCATTCTGAAGGAGGGGAATTGGGGAGAACGTGTAGTATGTCCTCAAAAACGTCAATTTCCCCGTCCCAGGTGGTAACTCTGCGAACTTCCCCCACCCCTCCTACGTCTTAGGGACCACCGCATTCCTTAAGGGACTAGTGTGGGATTAAAAAGGTTAAAGGACACAGCACACAGTTGTCTCCGAAGTGTTACTCTCCACCCCGTCCCCCTGCAGTCACCGCCTCTTTCCGGCCTCAGTTTTTTCGTCTCTGTAAAATGGGTATAATATAACCCACCTCGCGTTAATATGATAATGAAGAAAATTATGTACTTAAAAAAATAAAAGCGCCCAAGTACATTGTAAGTGCTCAAATATGTCTTTCCCCAGGGCCGGCCCGTGGCTCTCTCGGGAGAGTGCGGTGCTGATAGCACCAAGGCCACGGGTTCGGATCCCATATAGGGATGGCCGG